CCCGCTCCTCCCCCGAGCCCCCCCGCCGGTCCCGGGGCCGCGGGAAAGGCTTTCCCGATGCACGGCCATGCCCCTGTCTATAGGCACCGCCTATAGGTACCGCCTATAGGCACTGTCCAGAGATGGCTTAGAGGGGTTTCGGAGGTCCGGAGTTAATTGCAAACAGAGATTAATTAGGAAGAAAGCCCCGGTGATTTCATTCAGGGCATGAGCTTCTCGGGGACAGGGTCATTCCTGCTCTGAGAAGGGTTTTGTGGTAAGAAGGGGGTGACAGGATCAGGATGGATGGGTGGATGGACAGACAGATGATGGATGGTCAGAAGGATGGATGGATGGATGGATGGATGGATGGATGGATGGATGGATGGATGCTCTGGTTAACAGAACACAGCAGGTGCCCCCTCCCACTAAACTGGGAGAAAGCCCTGGGGGATCAACCCTTGCTGGGCTGTCCAACCTGGACCATGGGGGGATGGAGGCAGCAGGAAGGAGGAGAAGAACAATCCCTRCTGCCAGGCTGTGGCTGCACCGAGCCGGGCTGTGAATTACAATCTCCTTGCAGTCAATAAATGCTGCGTTGTGAAATCAGCGTGCGGGGCTGGGGGATGCTGCTGTTGCTGCTGCTGCCAGAGGAAATTAGAGACACAAGCGCCTGGGCTGCCTCAGCCACCCTTGTGCCGGGAGCAGGGCTGAGAAAAGGGTCTCCTGCAAATTCAGCACAGGGAAGAAAACAGGCCAGGTGGAAATTTCCATCTTTTCTCCTTGGCTGAAATAGCTGGAGTTTGGCTCAAAGTGCACCTGACTGCTGTGCCAAGGCTCAGCCTTCCCTGCTCCCCTCTGGGCTGAGCACCTGCACAGCTCGGCCCTCTGGTGCAAAGGGTTTTTTTTTGGGCTGTTAGCTTTGGCACGTTTGTTAGGCTCTGATTTCATACTGTCACTGYAAAATCTCAAAGCACCTCACTCTCTTTGGGGTACAACCCCTTGCTCTACACCAGACCCCATCACCCTCTTCCAGAAACCTTGGAAATGTAAAAAAAAAAAGGGGGGTGAGCGTGATTGGGGTTCCCTGGCCGTGTCTGCCATTGGCTGGCACCCAGACAGCGAGAGTGCTCCATGAAAAGAGCAGGATGAGCTGAAGCATATGTGCACCCGCCTTTTCCCGGCGCTCGCCAGGCAGCATTACTCACCACAGGGATTCCCCCCAGGAGCYGCTTCTCCCCATTCCAAAGCCCCAGGAACAGAGCCAGGGGTGGTCCTTTAAAGACAGCCAGGCTGAGGGGAGCATTTCAGCTCCCCGAGGGATGTGGTGCTCTCTGGGCTGTGGGGCGATGCCACCAAACACCTGAGGGTAAAGATYGAGAGGCTGAGTTTGGCATCCTTTCCAAAATCATCAGGAGATCCCCATTTCAGGGGAAAAGGGGGGCTCCTTTTTGACTGCTCCTGCTGTGGGTATGACAGAACTGGGATATCCGAGGAAACTCATACAGCTTGGAGCACAGGGAGATGAATCCACCAGTGAGAACTACTCTGGGGGCTTTCTCTCTGCTTTCCTGATCCCCAAGGGCAATGTTAGACCCAAACAACACTGTCCCCCCCTTCCCAAAATGCCCAAGGTGCCCCCTGAGCATGGGCAGGCCCAGCTGCCTCAGCCTGACAAGGGTATGGGGGTCCCATGGGCTGGGCTCTCCGGGAGTTTTGCTGGGCTCTTCAATATTTCAAGCTGGCCCTGAATAATTCAGTTTCCACAGAGCTGGCTCAAGGTTGGTGAGCTCAGATGCTCCTTGGGTTTCTGCTTGACCCACTTTAAGAGCCAGGAAAACCAGCCAGGCATGATACTCCTGGTCCCTGTGGCACGAGGGACATCCCTTACATACAGCCCCAGCCTGGAGTCTTGCCCCCCACATCCAACAGCCCCATTGCTCACCCACWCYRCTGATTTTAGAGGCATTTTCTTCCTTCTCCCACCTCTCCCTGCTGTCCCATGGCTCTCAGCATGAGTGGGTGCATCCCAACAGTTTTTTCAGGATTACAAGGAGGGATTTGCTTGGCTCCATGAACCAGCCAACAAATGCCCTGTGGCCACCTCGCCAGGGCTCCTTGCTATGCAGGGCCTCACCTCACTTCCCAGGAGCCTGGATGGAYGTTGACTAATCCTGCCGGCACAATAAGAAGCTGCTGATTCATTTGGCTCTGAGATGCTGGATTAGGACCTTCTCCAGAAATGTCCTGTATTGTTGTTTTTCTCCTTGCCCTTCCAGCCGAGTCGGGTTTTATTAATCATTGCTGCTGCAGAGGAGAGAGGAAGGAGAGACCTTTCAGGTGTCTGCACACCAAAATCCTCGAGCTAAGGCTTTTAACTCTTGTGGACCATGGGGAGGGGCTGTCCCTACGGTCCCCATCCCTGTGGGCTCAGCCACGAGCCATCCCTTGGGTAAGGAGCTCTTTAACCCTGCCAGGGTGCTCTGGTCATTCTGAGCCCAGGGGTGTCCCCTCTGTCACCAGATGGGTGACACTGGGGGGGCTCAGGCAAAGGGGTGAAACCCCTGCACCCCTCCTCCCACCCCCTCCCAGGAGTGCAGCACATCCATCTTTTCCGCTTCACGGGAAGAGGAGGCCGCTCTCAAGGCTGCAATCCCCTCTTGGAAAAGCTCCTTTAAAGAGTGCTGCATCCTTCCCCGGGGTGGGCTCCCAACTCCGGCCGAGCGTGTCGTGCCAGCACCAGGAGCATCCTTGGCTTTGCACGGAGACGGCGGGGATTAATCAGGGATGTTGCCTCTTGGCCAGAGTCACACTTGGGGGATTACTCGGGGGCCTGCAAGGAGCGGGGAGTAGCCAGGGAATTTGTTCAATGCAAGTGGAGGGGTTTGTCACAATCCGATTGCAGGCGAACAGAAATCCCCAGTGCTGGCAAGAGCTCAGCACTGGAGGCCGCAGGGATTAACTGGTTTTCCCCCAAGCTTTGCAGCAAGGCTGGGGTGGGAGGAGATGCTCTAAGCCCAAAGCTTGGGGTTTAAAACCTCCAGAGAGATGCAGGGGCTGAGCTGAGCATCAGCTTTGGGGCACCCAAACCTTGTCCCRAGGCCAAGAACCAAATTCTTTCACGTGGATGCCCCAAATTCTCCTGCAAGGCATTCCTCTGCATCCCTCCTGCCCTCCAACCAGCCTGGGAGAGCTGGAGAAACCCTGGGAGGATACTCATGGCCTTTGCATTCCCCTCGCTCCTCTTTGTTGGAACAGATTTGCATCCATCGCTAATTAATCCAAGATGAGCTCCTAATTCAGCTCCTTGATTGCAACTTTGCATAATTGCAGCACGCACAGGCAGAGTGGCAGGACGGGATAAAAAAAGGAGACAATCAGGGGTGGGCGTAGAGGAAACAACGCCGGGAAGGGCCGATTGGGCTCGCTCCCATTCACCGGGCTATTTACAGACACAGGTCGAGAGGGATTTTGCTCTGGAAGGAGAAATGGTGACARTTGCCCTTGGAAGGGGTGTTTTCCCCCATGCCATGCTCACAAAGGGCCTCAGGCAGTGGGAAAGCCTGGAATTCCAGGCCAACCCTTTTTGTTGTTGGGGTCATTGCTGCCCTGCTCCCCCAACTCCCCTTTCCCCAGGGTCCCAGCACTGTCTGTAGGGTCAGAGTGAACATTCCACCAAGGGGATCAGGGCAAATACACCCCCTGAGCCGGGGCTCCCCCAGTCACCAGCTACACCCCACCCCGTATTTGTGAAGGCTGTAAAACCCCAAAACTGGGGCCAGAGGAATGCAAACCCACAGCAGGTGAGAGCCAATCCTTGGTGGCACAAAAAGTGAGAAATACCCTGCTTTTCCTGCATTTCCAGCGGGATCTGGGGCACMTGGGCACCCAGAGATGACTCTCCCCGAGCACCCAYCACCCYGCAGGATCGCTCACATCCATCGTGMGCGCTCARATGGRRCTCAGGGRTTGTTTTTCCCCYTTCCTCTCCMTRCCCCAYTCACATCCCACCCACAGCCACCCCTCTCCCACGRCTGAACACCCCCACGCACCCCCAGAGCCGAGCGATGGGGCAGCAACAGCGGCGCACGGGTCAGCCTGGCGCTCCCTATTCACCGCCCGCCCTGCAAAAGAAAAGCGACTTTCAACTCCAGCCTTTTTCTCCGGAAAAAATGCAGCTCCCGGCGCAAAGGCCCCTTTTCCCTGGCCCCACGGTGGGGGTGGGAAGGGGGTTTGGGCAGCCAGGCTGGCCCCAGCACCCCTGTTAATCAGCCGGGGCATGCATGAAGCCTAATGCCGTGGCCAAGATTTGGGCGCTATTGACACACACGGCGCATTAAACGCCTTACGGGGGATTTGCATAAGCTCGGGGTGGGAGGGAGGAAGAGCGCCGCAGAAAAGTGTCGACAATGGGAAAGTAAATGCATTAAAGTGCTTAAAGGGGAGGGGGAGAAAAATCTGATAAAGGAATAAACCAGTTAAGGGAATATATTACTCATAGCCCCGTTATTCAAATCCTGCCTTATAGGAAATCCTCTTAAAGCGATCACCTGATTGTGTGTTAAATTCCTAATTGAATAATAAAGGAATTATGTATTTCTTCCATAACGGCACCGAGATGGGAGCCCACGAGGATGCTCAGTGAGGGAGGAGCTGGTGGCAGAGGAGCTGAAAGGAGAGGGGACTTTGGGCAGGAGGAGCATCCAGGAGGAATGCGAAAGGAAAAGTGGGAGTGATGGTTGGGAAAGGGGAAGGTTATAGGGCTGAGAGCCTCTGGGCAGTGGAGAGCTTTGCTGAGATGGATTTAGGAATTTTGGTGCCTAGAGGGAGAAAGGCTTGATGGAAACCCAGGGCTCCTCCAGCCCCGCTGGTGAAAGAGCAGAGAGAATGCACCAAGGGTGGCCCCTGCTCCGGAGCTGCTGTGAGCAGAGACTGCAGCCCCAAAATCCAGGATGAGCCAAGTTCCAGGGGGTTCCAGCCGCTCCTGGGGCTGCTGAGGAGCAGAGGGAGGGTCCTGTCCAGCCCTGGGTGCTGCAGGACAGGCTCAGCCCCTGCTGCCCCCTCCTTTCCTCAGCCAGGGCTCTGCGCGGCCTCTCCTGATGCTGCTGCCCTTCCCCCACCTCCACGCTATAAATAAGATGCAAAAAAAGGAGAGGGAAAAAAAAAAGGAAAATAAGAAAAGAGCACATCACCTGGCACTCAGGAGGTGAGGGAGAACAGCAGGACTGACATGCACCAAACYCTCAGATTGTGCAGGGAGGGTGGGGGTGGAAAGTGGGGAGAAACAAAAGAGCTAAAAATAGCCCAGGGAGCTGCTTTCTTCCCGGAGATCATTTTTTTTCCTACCCAGCTGTTTCATTTCATAAACAGGATTATTTATTTATTTCTCTCTGACTCTGCTTTTTACTAGTGTTTTTTTTTTTTATTTAGTCAGCACCACTTTACCCATCCTCACATCTCCTTTAAATGCAAGGTAAAGACCAAAACACCCAAACCAAGGGGCAAAGCCCTAAAACCAACAGCCTCTATACCTCCAGCGATGTCTTACCTTGCTACAGCTCTTYACAGGTAATTGAATATCCCAGAGCTGCACCTGCTAATGCAAACTCCGATATCAATAAGTGGCCGAGGTGAGGGCAGAGGCAGCAGCTGAGAAAACAAAGCACCAGCGCCCAGCGAGCCCCAGCCAAGCTCCAGGCTGCCAGAGGCTTTTTATCGGGCAGGATTGGGTTGCTGGAGCCAGGCTGAGGTCCCAGTCCAGGGTGACTGGAAGCTGGAAGGAAGCAGGGTGTGCAGGGAGGTGGGTGTGGGGTTACCCTCGGGGCAGKGATCTGTCTGAGCCAGGCTGGAGCCCCCCCAATTCCCAGGGGAGACCCCCGAGCCCCAGAGCAGCTCACAGGTTTGCTCCACTCACAGCTCCAGCAGTGCCCGCACCTCCTCCTCCTCCATCCCGCATCCTCCAGCAGCAGCCGGGGAAATCAGGGATGACAGGAGCAGTTAATTTGAGCCTGCAGAGGCCATCTTCCYCTGTGTGCGTTGTTTTGTTTCCAAATAGACCTTTAATAACGGATTTCGGATGGTGAAGAGAAAAAGCTTCGTTCTGACCTCTTGAAATGCAAATTGCCTTTCACCCTGGGAGAGATGAAGGGCTGTTTCCTACCTGAATCGTTAAAAAGGGGTGAGATAACGTCCCTGGCTCTGTCTGCTGGCTTTCATTTTCGGAATTGTTTTCGGGTGGGGAGGGGAGAGGAGAGATGCTCTGCACGATCTCACTGTGCTCGGTGCTCACAGAGAGCAGGGGGCTCCTCAGGGGACACCTGGAGCAGAGACCCCGTGCCCTTATTGTGCAGAGGGAGG